CTGAAAATAGACAAACAGATGTCAAAATGTAAAAGATGACAACATTAAAACAAAAAAGAGGGACTTGAAAAATGTAGACATAGATTTTTCATATGGAGAGGAAGTCAAGGCGATATAAAGAAAAATAAAAGACTGGTATAAACTTAGAAAAACAGTGGTAAATATTAAGGTAACCACAAAGGAAACTACCAATCCTACAAGTCAAAATAAAAAACTAGAAAAATATAAAGACTCAGCAAATACAAAATCAACAACAATGAAAAGAAAAGAAAGAAAAACGACTCAACACAGAAAATTAAATGGAACAAAGAAACTGTGAACAACACACAAAAAAAGACATCAAAATGACAACACTAAACTCATACCTGTTAATAATTACGCTGAATGTAAATGGGCTAAATGCACCAATAAAGAGACAGAGAGTGGCAGCTTGCATAAAAAAACATGATCCGCCTATATGCTGCCTACAAGAGACACACCTTAAAGACACAGACTAAAACTCAAAGGATGGGAAAATATATATCAAGCAAACAACAGTCAAAAAAGAGGAGGAGTGGCAATATTAATGTCTGACAAAATAGACTTTAAAGTAAAATCCACCACAAAGGATAAAGAAGGACACTATATAATGATTAAATGGTCAATACATCAGGAGGACATAACTATAATAAATATTTACACACCCAACGACAGGGCTCCAAAATACATAAAACAAACTCTAACAGCACTGAAAAGAGAGATAGATAGCTCCACAATAGTAGGAGGAGACTTCAACACGCCACTTTCGGTGAAGGACAGAACACATAGAAAGAAGCTCAACAAAGACACAGAAGAGCTAAATGCTATAATCAACCAACTTGATCCACAGATATATATACTCAACCCAAGAGCAGCCAAATATACTTTCTTTTCCAATGCACACGGAACATTCTCCAGAACAGACCACATATTAGGCTATAAAGCAAGCCTTAACAAAATCCAAAGCATCGAGATTTTAGAAAGCATCTTTTCTGACCATAAAGCCATAAAAGTAGAAATCAACAACAGAAAAAGCAAGGAAAAACAATCAAACACATGGAAACTGAACAAC